AATAATCTTCTTGCTGGTGCATTAAAAACTGCAATTCCCATCCTGCTAAATGCTATGGATGTGGGAAAGTGGGACATATGAAAAAAAAAATTGTCTGAAGGCAAAAGTCCCACAAGGGAAAGCTAAACATGCTCCCGGAGTTATTAATACAAATTATGAAGGAGAAATATTAGTTATGATGCCTGCTTCTGATACTATAAATATAAAGGCTAGAGAAAAAATGGCACAGTTATTATTAATTCCCTATAAACAAATAGGGCATACAGCACCAGTTAAACAAACTAGAAGATTTAGTAGCACAGAAAAAAAGGTTTTTTAACATACAGTCTTGGGAGGCCAAAGACCTCAATTTTTACAGTTTATTCCCGGAGGGAATAAAAATTATCAGCCTGGTGGATTCTGGGGCTGATGTGACTATAGTTTCTATTTTGCACTGGCCTCAATCTTGACCGGTGCACAAGGTGAATGCAACCTTTACAGGTTGCAAACCTCACTGAGATTTTGCAAAGCTCTAATGTACTTGAATGCCAGGGGCCTGAAGGACAAAAGGGCCAAATACAGCCATATGTTGCCTCCATTCCACTATCTTTGTGGGGAAAATATCTTTTACAGCAATGGGGGGCTACAATTACTATACCTTCTTTACAGAAAGGTCATAGACAAATGATTTGTCAAGCTGGTGCTGGCGTCACTGGCACCAGTGTTCAGGACCAAAATTTATAAAGGGGGCCACTCCAAAGCGCTTCGCCCTGCCTTTAAAATGGAAAACAACTAAACCGGTTTGGGTAGAGCAGTGGCCCCTAACAAGAGAAAAGTTGGAAGCGCTCCATATTATTATCAAAGAACAAATACAACTAGGGCATATAGAAGCCAGCTCTAGTCCATGGAATTCCCCTGTCTTTGTTATAAAGAAAAAACCAGATAAATGGAGAATGTTAACTGATTTAAGAAGGATTAATGAGATTATTAAACCTATAGAACCTTTACAACCTGGAATTCCAAATCCAGCATTAAAGCCTTTGCTGTAATGGGCAAGCCCCGAGCCATTAAAACTGACAATGGCTCAACATATTTATCAGGTAAGTGTCAACAATTTTTTCAACAATTTGATATTAAACATATTACAGGAATTCCTGGAAACAGTACAGGTCAAACAATTATTGAACAACAGAACCAAACCCTTAAGGAAATGCTACAAAAACAAAAAGGGGGAGAAGAGCTGGTATCAGGCCAGACTCCCCGACGAAGATTATTAAGAGCTCTATTTACTTTAAATTTTTAAAATTTGAATACAGACGCAGTGTCAGCTGCCGGAATGCATAGGGGACATAAAAAGGAGGTCCCGGTAGAAAAACCTGTCATGTATCAAGATGTCACTACTAATCCATGGCGCCCGACTACCGTTTTAAGGTGGGGTCGAGGCTATGCTTATGTTTCCACAGGAACTAAGAAGTTCTGGATTCCTAATAAAAGAATCAAGCTAAGGCATGGCGAGCAAGAGGAAGCGTGACGAGGCGGGACTGGAAGACCGGTTTGCGCAGCTAACCATCCAGAGAGGACAAACAATTTGCGTGCTGTTGCCTCGCACCCGAAACACCCCTCCACCTACATGGGGACAGGTGAAGCGCGGGTGCCAGGAAGGGGAACGTCTTGTGACTGCCCATGGAAGGCCCTGTAACTAATGACTCTAATTGGATGCCTGGACCTTTTGATGATCGTGGGCCTTTGAAACCAGATGCCGGAATGCCAGTGTGCCTGGGACTGGGTGACCATTGTTTGCAATTGGGTTTTAAAGCCTGGTTGAATGTGGCTAAAAGCACCAGTAATCCTTAAAAGGACCAGTCCAATGGAATCAAACTACTGGAGAAATATCTTGTTTTAATTGTACTTTCTTAACCTGTGTAAATAACTCTGTACTTTTTAATCACAATAGAGAAAGCTTGTATCTATTGCAAGCCAGAACGGGAGTATGGTTACCTGTGCAGATGGACCGACGATGGCAAGAAAGTTCTCTGGCTGGAGCTCTCCAAGCCATTGCAGAAGGAATATTAAAAAGGTCAACAAAGGTTTATTGGCATACTAATTGCTGTAATTCTAGGATTGATTGCTGTGACAGCAACTGCAGCAACAGCTGGGGTGGCATTGCAGCGATCAGTCCAAACTGCTACTTTTGTTCAGGAATGGCATAAAGATTCAGAACAGTTATGAAGTTCTCAACGGAAAATTGATAGTGAAATTAATGAACAAATAGCCGATCTTGAGCAATCAGTAGCTTTATTAGGGGACCAAATTGTGAGCCTGCAAAGGCGATTACAGTTAAAATGTGATTGGAACCATACTGGTCTGTGTAGATTACTGAACTTCAAGATCATATTCACACAACATTTCAAAAGAGATTAGAGGAGGTAACCGGACAGCAAGTTTTACAAGGTCTTATAAATGAGATACAGAATATGAATCCTATTCCACATATTCAAGCATTAATGGAAACCTCCTCAGGGTTGTTATTGCTAGTATTGATACTTTGCTTCGTTCTATATTTAGTCTGCAGAAGATCGAGTAAAGCCGCAGCAGTGAACAATTAACGCAATGCTATTTTTTATGTCATGAACCTGAAGCAAAACAAAAAAGGGGGAAAATGTTGTGGTAAAGTGGAAAGAAGTTAACTAGAAGAGGACGCTCTGCCAGGAGAAGGCGTGAGCCTGCACACAGGCCGCGTCAGAACAAAGTCTTGCACGCGAGACTTATTGTTCCGAGGCAGAACTTTCCTTGACGTGATGAATAGTCCATGAGGGCATGGAAAGTTCAGTGGAGGGTGCACTGCTGCAGGTGGAAAGAGTCTTTGTATAATATAGGAAATTAATAGTGTAATGTATAACTTAGCTTTGATGATTTCATAAAGCATGATTGTTAATCATTGTCACTTGCTGTACTCCATTGTTATTTGCTGTGCTCACCCCCAATAAAAGCCAGAACTTTCACCCAAACCACTGGAATGTTGACTGGGTCACAAAAGCCAGATCTCCGGCCTAAAGACACTCTTTATTTTCCTCTTAGTTTTGCTGCCAGAGCACCAATAGCTCTATTGGGAACATTTGAGAAGCTACCGGAGGCCACAGAACCTCTTGATTATAATCAATGACAATGACTGCTGCACACAGCATAAACATGCCGGGAGTTTCTCAGATCTGTGTACAAACCGTTCCTACAGTCTTTTCCTCAAAAAACTTTCTGGGTGCAGGTTTATTTATTTATTTATTTATTTTATTTTTTTTAAGATGTGTGGTTTTTTTTTGTTTTTGTTTTTTTTTATTGATTTTTTACAGAGAGGAAAGGAGAGGGATAGAGAGTCAGAAACATCGATGAGAGAGAAACATCGATCAGCTGCCTCCTGCACACTCCATACTGGGTATGTTCCCGCAACCAAGGTACATGCTCTTGACCAGAATCAAACCTAGGCCCCTTGAGTCCACAGGCCAAAGCTCTATCCACTGAGCAAAACCAGTTTCGGCTCTGGGTGCAGGTTTAAATGAAGTCCATTTTTTGTAATAGAATTAGGTCAGATTTCTGCACTGACGGGGTCCCCCTCACTGCGATGGTACTCCAACAAGTGCCCATCACCCATGGTATAGAAGGCATTAGGGCACATGGCCCTCTGCAACACCTGGGGGAAAGGATCCCTTCACATGTCTTAGCATCCCTTGAAAACAAGAAAAAAATTTATGCTGCTCCCAGACATACTTGAGGTTGTCACAGCTACCCCTCTTTTGAGTGACTTCTGTGTCTCAAAGCATGCATTTTCACAGGAGGACTAAACAGTGCACATTGTTTCCTGCAAAATTATGGGCAGGAATGTAAATTTGGCAAAAACTGCTGAGCAAATTTCTGCACCATAGTCTTCTCCCAAGGGCAAAACTGTTTGAGACCACAAAAAATTTCCCCATCATCATGCTTGGAGAGCCCAGATCTTCTAATAAACTAACCCACACAGTAAATAGAACACCCAGCATTAAAAAAGTCCTAGTAAAAAGCCTTCATTATTTTGCAAAGAAAGACACCTGAGATTGGCGGTTTTCACCTTGATGACTTAGGCCAGTGATGGCGAACCTTTTGAGCTCGGCGTGTCAGCATTTTGAAAAATCCTAACTTAACTCTGGTGCTGTTTCACATATAGAAATTTCTTGATATTTATAACCATAGTAAAACAAAGATTTATATATATATTTTAAAAAATATATTTTATTGATTTTTTACAGAGAGGAAGGGAGAGAGATAGAGAGTTAGAAACATCGATGAGAGAGAAACATCGATCAGCTGCCTCCTGCACATCTCCTACTGGGGATGTGCCCCCAACCCAGGTACATGCCCTTGACCGGAATCGAACCCGGGACCTTTCAGTCCGCAGGCCGACGCTCTATCCGCTGAGCAAAACCGGTTTCGGCAAAAGATTTATATTTTTGATACTTATTTTATATATTTAAATGGCATTTAACAAAGAAAAATCAACCAAAAAAAAATGAGTTCGCGCATCACCTCTGACACGTGTGTCATAGATTTGTCGACACTGACTTACGCAATTAAATAGAGTCAACATCAGCATGTAGGTTAGTGTGTCCCTCAAAATGGCATTTCTTCTGCAACATTATGTTTACTGGCACCAAGGGTAATCAGTCCTATGTGGCAACTCATGGAAGGGATACATGTAAGAACTCATGTAAGAACTAAGGGATTAGGTATTCCTATTTTCTTCAACAAATTATACAACACAGTTAGCTTCCCTGGGCCCATGAAGATGGTGATTGATGCCATCTGTCGGGACCTTGTAGGACGCTATAAGATAGGGGGAAATAGCTTCAGCAACAGAAATATGCAGTGACATAGATCGGGCAGGACATCTCTGTATGTTAGAAAGTGCAACTTAGATACATATACTTCCAACATAAAAACAAAGAAACAAAAAAGCAGAAAAAGTTGCGGACACGTTACATAATGTAGGCGATTAAATGTATGAGATGTAATTCAGACTAATGAGACTTCATTTATTTTCTTATACAACTGATAAATCCTTATTAAGAAACTACATTTCCTACACATCTAAGAACCTTATCATATCCGGACTTTGTTATGTAGAATTATTTACAAATTAGACTGAGAGATATCTCACATTAATTGCACTCATAGCAGCTTTCTCCAGTGTGAGCTCTCTGATGATTTTGAAGACCATTGCTACTTGTAAAAGATTTCCCACATTCACTGCATTTCTAAGGCTGTTTTCCAGTGTGAACTCTCTGATGAGTACGAAGGGTGGTGCTCCAGGTAAAAGATTTCCCACATTCACTGCATTTATAAGGCTTCTCTGCAGTGTGCACTCTCTGATGAGTACGAAGGTTGGTGCTCCAGGTAAAAGATTTCCCACATTCACTGCATTTATAAGGCTTCTCTGCAGTGTGCACTTTCTGATGAGTATGAAGGTTAGTACTACAGGTAAAACATTTCCCACATTCACTGCATTTATAAGGCTTTTCTCCAGTGTGAACTCTCTGATGATATTTGAGACGGGTGCTATTTGTAAAAGACTTTCCACATTCACTGCATTTATGAGGATTCTCTCCTGTATGAACTCTCTGATGACGACGAAGTTCAATTTTCCAGGTAAAACATTTCCCACAGTCACTGCATTGATAAGGCTTTTCTCCTGTATGAATTCTCTGATGACAACGCAGGGAACTGCTCCGGGTAAAACAATTTCCACATTCACTGCATTTATAAGGCTTTTCTCCAGTGTGAACTCTGTGATGACAACGAAGGGCACTGCTATGGGTAAAAGATTTCCCACATTCACTGCATTTATAAGGCCTCTCTCCAGTGTGCACTCTCTGATGACATTGGAGACCATTGCTATTTATATAAGACTTGCCACATTCACTACATTTATAAGGCTTTTCTCCAGTGTGAACTCTCTGATGATATTGGAGACTACCAGCTTGTGTAAAAGTTTTCCCACAATAAATGCACGGATAAGGTGTTTCTCCTGTATGAAGTCTCTGATGACAACGAAGCGCATTGCAGTTGATAAAAGATTTCCCACATTCGATGCATTTATAAGGCTTTTCTCCTGTATGAATTCTCTGATGACAACGAAGGGAACTGCTCCGGGTAAAAAAGTTTCCACATTCACTGCATTTATAAGGCTTTTCTCCAGTGTGCACTCTCTGATGATTAACAAGCTGGCTTCTAGTGGTAAAAGTCTTCCCACAGTCACTGCATTGATAAGGCTTTTCTCCAGTGTGAACTCTCTGATGACTACGAAGCTGGCTGCTAGTGGTAAAAGGCTTCCCACATTCACTGCATTGATAAGGCTTTTTACCTGTATGAACTCTTTGATGATATTGGTGGCAAGTGCTCCTTGTAAAAGACTTTCCACGTTTACTGCCTTTATAAGGCTTTTCTCCTGTGTGAACTCTCTGATGATAATGAAGGTGAGACTTACTTGTAAAAGATTTCCCACATTCAGAGCACACAAAACATCGTCTTCTAACATTGACACCCTTTTCCTGAATAAACATGTGGATGCAACTATTGACTTTCTTACATTCTTCTCTGGTGAAACAATTTTCTCTCCTTTGAAACATCATCCCAGGTGTTGAAATGGCATTCGTACTATCCCTGGTCTGAGTAGTCTTTATGTGGAAATGTCCTGACCTGGTAAGGACACCCTGCCCAACCTCCTCACAGGTGAAATGATTCTGGGACACACTGAAATTGCAGCTGTTTGCAAGTGAGATCCTGCCCACCCCTCTAATGAGAGTCTTCTCTCTCACATGCTGCTGGTGAAATTTTACAGTGAAGTAAAACCATTTTGCACACGCCCCACACCTCAACAGTATCTGTCTGTGTTGTGTTCCCTGCAGCTCCATCATGAGGAAAATGTTTCCCAAGACGATTCCACAACTCTCACAGGGGTGGCTCTTCCTGGAAGAAAAGGCTACCTTGGGCTTCCTTGCCTGGGACACTTTAACACAAACCTTCTGTTTTGTTGTTGCTTCCACATTCTCTGCTCCACAGCAGCAACCTGTATAAAAGGAAATACTGGTGAGGTACATGTTGACCTTAACAGAATGTCTTCACCACGAATGATTAATTGTCCTGCCTAGGCATGATTCCATAGAAAACATTTCAGGATGAGTGAGTTAGACAGTGAGGAAATTGCTGTTATAAATAACATGGCTCCAAAAGTCAGTCGATGATGGAAATCTCACCATCAGAGGGACAGAAGCATAGGAGGAGTTACAAAGAAGAGAGGATGGCTCTACTCCTTGTTCTTGCACAAACGGCTTCCTTTAGGACCTTCCATTCTGACCATGTGAGTCTGTGTGGAATAATTTCAAGCTGCTCAAAGACATAAAAATTAATTGTATTGGATCACAGGATATACAACTTCAGTAAAATAACGTGTGTGCTCTCCAAGGTGCTGCAGGCATGGACCAACGGTGGCTTGCAGTAAAGAAAGACCTGTGAAAGAGGCAGACGTGCAAAGTCCAGAGAGGTTAAGATTATCCATGAGCTGGGAATCTAAATAGAAATGATCATAATAAAAACTAAATAGTGGGTAAAGCATCAGCAATCAGCACAAACAAGCATAATTCGGTGAGGCATGGGCAACTGTAACAAAACACTGGCTTTCTAGCTATGAATGTAACAAAGGCCAGCAGAGAATTCCTCCCCAATGACCCTTCTCCAAGGCAAGACCGCTTGGGGGTCCACTGTGTCATTCATAAAGTCGTGTTTCTTCTGTGATGCACAAATGATTCTCCCCTTTCAATCCCATTTGAGGCATTGCTTGGGATAAATGATGCAAAGAACATGGAGGGTCAATACTGTGGTAGAACAACAAAAGGCAAATGAGATCACAGACAAAAGACTTCGGAGGGTGCTGGTCCTGAACTCATTTGTGCCACTTTTCTAATTGGGAGGGAGATCATCACTACTGAGGTCGCCCGGAGGAGCAAAGGTTCCCAGTGCTACACCAGACTCCCAGATGTGGGAAAAGAAGTGCCTACCAGTAAGAATTGGCAGGAAGAACTACAGGCTGTAAAAACCAGTGCAAATTGGGGCTCAGGGACAAAGAGGCTATATGTGTCCTAGTAATATCATTCTCGATACAGTTCTGAGGGCAATGGAAAGTAAGGAAAAAATAAACAAGTGGGACTACAACAAAATTAAAAGCTTCTGCACAGTAAAAGAAACCATCAACAAAACAACAAGAAAGCCCACTGCATGGGAGAACATATTTGCCAATTACATTTCACATAAGGGTTTAAGCTCCAAAATTTACAGAGAACTCATAGAAATTAACAAAATGAAGATAAGCAATACAATTTAAAAAATAGGTAAGGACCTAAATAGACACTTTACGAAGAGGACATACAGAAGGCTGAGAGAAATATGAAAACATCCTCAAAGTCACTAATCATCCTAGATGTAAATAAAAACAACAATGCGGTACCATATCACACCTGTCAGTATGGCTACCATCAACAAATCAACAAACCACAATTGCTGGCGAGGATGTGCAGAAAAAGGAACCCTGGTGCACTGCTGCTGGCAATGCAGACTGGGGCCGCCACTATGGAAGACACTATGAAGTTTCCTCAAAAAGTGAAAAATGGAACTCCCATATGACCCAGTAATCCCACTTCTAGGTATATATCCCAAAAAAACAAAAACACAAATCAGAAAGGATATATGCACCCCTGTGTTCATAGTAGCAAAATTTACAATAGCTAAGATTTGGAAACAGCCTAGGTGCCCATCAGCAGATGAGTGGATTAGAAAACTGTGTTACATCTAAACAATGGAATACTACGCCGATATAAAAAAGAAGGAATTGCCCTAACCGGTTTGGCTCAGTGGATAGGGCGTCGGACTGCGGACTGAAAGGTCCCAGATTTGATTCCGGTCAAGGGCATGTACCTTGTTGCGGGCACATACCCAGCAGGGAGTGTGGAGGAGGCAGCTGATTGATGATTCTCTCTCATTGATGTTTCTAACTCTCTAAGCCTCTCTGTAAAAAAATCAATAAAAATATATTTTTTTTAAAAAAAGAAGGAATTTAAACCATTAGCAACAGCATGGATGAAACTGGAGAGCATGATGCTAAGCGAAATAAGTCAATTGCAGAAAGATAATTATCACATGATCTCACTCATACATGGGATATAATGATCAACATATTTGGATGAACAGGAATAGATCCAGAGACAAATAGCAGGAAAGGGGAGGTTAAAGAGCAAGGAGAGAACTTGCATGCATGCATATTAGCATAATCAATGGACAAAGACACTGGGGTGGTGATGGCCTGACTGGGGTGGGAATGGCTGAGGGGGAAGGGAGGGTCAAGCAGGGAAAAAGAAAACATATGTAGAACTTTAGACAATAAATAGCTAAATAAATAAAGAAAGAAAGAAGAAGAAGATAAACCATTAAATCAAAAAGTGGGCAAAGGACTTAATCAGACACATTTTTAAAGAGGGCATACAGAAGGCCAAGAGACAAATGAAAACATGCTCAAAGTCATTAATCATCTGAGAGATGCAAATCAAAACGACAATGAGATATCATCTCACACCTGTCAAGATGGCTATCATCAACAAATTGATAAAGGACAAGTGCTTGACAGGATGTGGAGAAAAAGGGACCCTTGTGCACGGCAGGTGGAAATGCAGACAAGTGAAGCCAATGTGGAAAATAGTATGGAGTTTCCTCAAAAAATTAAAAATGGAACTCCCATGTGACCCAGTAATTCACTCCTAGGAATATACCCCAAGAAATCAGAAAGGACATATGCACCCCTATGTTCAGAGCAGCACAATTTACCATAGCTAAGATCTGGAAACAGCTGAAGTGCCCATCAGTAGTTTAGTGGATTAAAACACTGTGGTACCTCTACACAATGGAATACCATGCTGCGGTAAAAAAGAAGAAACTCTTACCATTTGAAACAGCGATGGACCTGGAGAGCATTATGCTGAGCGAAATAAGCCAGTGAGAGAAAGATAAATTATCACATGATCTCACTCATTTGTGGTCAATGGGGGAAACAGGAGATATATGTAAGACGATACATAATACTTTAAAGAATAAAGAATTTTTAAAAAAGAAATATAGTGAAAATATCCACAGTACACAAAGCAATCTACAGATTAAATCCAATCTTGTGGGACAATTCCTACGGTATTTTATAAAGAAATGAAAAGAGAATCTTGAAATGTGTAAAACTAAAAAACTCCAACAGCAAAAACAAACATCAGTGAAAAACAAAGATGGTGGATCACACTTTCCTGACTCAATTTCTTCCAAAGAAAAAGCAAGCGAACAGTGTATTGGTGGAGAAACACAGACACATCTATCAACAGAACAGAAAATACAGAAATAAACCCAGGCATATACTTTCCTTTTAAAAATATATATGTATTTTATTGATTTTTTTACAGAGAGGAAGGGAGAGGAATAGAGAGCCAGAAACATCAATAAGAGAGAAACATGGATCAGCTGCCTCCTGCACACCCCATACTTTCAAGTAATCTTTGTCAAAGCTGCAAGACAGAGAAAGGAAAGATAGTTTCTTCAATGAATGACACTGCGGAAAATCAATAGTCACATGTAAAAACAACAATACTGGACACCATGAATAAAATTTAACTCAACCTGCAGGACAGAATTGAATATCAGTGCTAAAAGAAAAAACTCCTCAAAACAACCTAGAGAAAAAGTTTTGGAGGTTTCTTTTGGACAGAATTTCCTGAATGTGACACCAACCACCAGACAAAATAGAAAACATAAACACTCCAGATGGCAACAAATAAAGAAAAAAAGCTTCTTCACTGCACAACAGCAATAATGAAATGAAAGGAAATCTAGAGAAGAGAAGGAAATACTTACAAACCATATGAAGAAACCGCTTGGAGAGACTGTGAATTCAGTTCTGATGAGCATAATTAAGCGAATATTGCAATATGGACAGAAATTCACACAAACAGGTGGAGTTCCCAGGGAATAATAAAGGATGTCAATACCATAGTGCAGGCTAATAATAATGCAATGACTCTTGTCAAAAGAAAACTCAATATAATTTCATGAAAAATACTTTATTGCTAAGCAATAGTAACAAACATCTGAGCTTGCTAGAAACATGGTGGCACTAGACCTGCTGAACACAGGGTTGCCAAAAACATGGACTTTGTAGAAAAGCGCAATTAAGCACAAGCAAAAATATGTGTTCTGAAAATGAACTAATAGGACTACATCAAAATAAAAAGCTTCTGCACAGCAAAAGAAACCATCAACAAAACAACTAGAAAACCCACTTCGTGGGAAAACATATTTGCCAACGTCGTATCTGATAAGGGCCTAATCTCCAAAATTTATAGGGAACTCATACAACTTAACAAAAAGAAGATAAACAATCCAATCAAAAAATGGGCAAAGGATCTAAATAGACACCTTTCAAAAGAGGACATCCAGAAAGCCAAGAGACATATGAAAACATGCTCAAAGTCACTAATCATCCGAGAGATGCAAATCAAAACAACAATGAGGTACCATCTCACACCTGTCAGAATGGCTATCATCAACAAATCAACAAACGACAAGTGCTGGAGAGGATGTGGAGAAAAAGGAACACTTGTGCACTGCTGGTGGGAATGCAGACTGGTGCAACCACTACGGAAGACAGTATGGAGTTTCCTCAAAAAGCTGGAAATGGAGCTCCCATTTGACCCTGTGATCCCACTTCTAGGAATATATCCCAAGAAACCAGAAACACCAATCAGAAAGGATATATGCACCCATATGTTCATAGCAGCACAATTCACCATAGCTGAGATCTGGAAACAGCCTAAGTGCCCATCAGTAGATGAATGGATTAGAAAACTGTGGTACAGGGAGAATCGAAGATGGCGGCATAGGTAAACACAGTTGACTGCCGCCGTGGACAACCATTTCAAAAATACAACTAAAAGTCGGAGCGGACATCAACCAGAACCACGGGAAGGCTGGCGGAGGACAGTCTCTTCAACTAGAAGCAAAAACAACAGCATTCCGACGCTCAGCGGAGGCACAGTGTGGAAAATTTAAAGGTACTGCCGGCGCGGTGGTGACGGTGCGCGCGCAAACGGGCTGGCGGCGGAGGGCGCGGTTGTCGTTTTCAATCCGGAGCGAGTCTCAGACTCTGGGCTACAGATCCGGGCGAGTCTCTAGGGACCCAGACTCAAACGGGAGAAGCGGGACTGTCTGGCGGCGGCCCCTCCGAGGTTTGCAGCGGTTGCCGGGACGGAGAGGCAGAGCCCTGGGGACGGACTGAGAGCGGCCATAGCGGCTCCCTCCCCCCGCCCTGTTGAGCCCGCCCCGCCCAAGCCCTGCGCACAGCCATTTGCCGACCGCCTCAGACAGAGGCTGGATTGGCGCCTCCCCAGAAGACAGACGTTTCCCGCAGCTGATTCCTTCAGCCAGTCGGCCTGGTGGTCAAATCCCTCTAGTGTTAACTACAACAATTAAGGCTTGGCTAGAACAAGACTGCGTACAGAGACCACTAGTGGGTGCATCAAGAAACCATAAAAGATGCGGAGACAAAAAAACATGACAGAAATGGATGATATGGAGCTAAGAATCGCAATTTTGAGGGTTTGCCATAAAATGGTGCAGAGCCTCACGAAAACTAATGAGACCCTCGATGCTACGATAAAGAAATTAGAAAGTAAGCATACACGGACTGAAATAAAGAATATTATACCCAATAGCAGACCAGAGGAGCACAAGAATCAAACCAAAGATTCAACAAAAAACACCCAACTGGAAAAGCAAAATGAAAAAAGAATCCGAAAGTGTGAAGATAGTGTAAGGAGCCTCTGGGACAGCTTTAAGAGGTCTAATATCAGAATTATTGGAGTGCCAGAAGATGAGAGACAGCAAGATATTGAAAACCTATTTCAAGAAATAATGGCAGAAAACTTCCCCCATCTGGAGAAAGAAATGGACTTACAGGTCC